CCCCCCCCCCCCCCCCCCCTCCTAATCTGTAAACAAATTCTTTCCTTGAATTCGTAGATGGCGATATCATTTGGAATCCTGGATTTTGGCATTTCAAGGAGAGATAACTAAAAATTATGAGGGAAGTACTTTGCCCAATAAAGGGAGAGAGTCGTAAAAGCCTTCCAATCCCACGACCAACCGGGGATATCGTCTTCCATCGGGTTTCAAAGTTCGCAGTCGGGCTGAAGGTCAAACTGGAGAGCGATCAAAAGATAAGAATAAGAGAGCAAGAGAAGTAGACAGATTTTGAGATTCCTTTTTTTTTCCCTATTTCCCCTTGCCTTAGCGGGAACATCGAGGAAGAACACCTCCAGAGATTTCATCAGCATTGCATGACGTTTCCGTCTCCCTGCGCCCTGTAAGTATTCGCGGCGACCCTTGGACTGTGGGAGGTGGTCTCTTCACATTTTTTCCCCGTTGTAACTCCATGTTGGAGGTGCATATCGTCCCATCAGGAATGAAAGCCTTCCATTGAGAAAAGCGGAAGCCAAAACTACTCGTTCTTTTATTGCAATTGTGAATTATGTACCACTGACCGACCCTACTTCATGCGAAATTAGTTGAGAAAATAATACAACCAACGGGACGAGAGAAGCTATGTAAATTGCAGCGAATACGTCTACTCGAGCAAACCGAAGCCCGACCGTTTCGGCCAGATGAATGCCGACGATCCATCACAGCTCACTGGACATGATGGCGATTCCCTCGCGTTCCAAGGCTTGCAAAGTGGGCCGAATGAAGTCATCTGTGATCGGTCTGATGACTCCTGTCTCCTGGACCTTCCCTGCAATGATGCACCACGAAAAAAAATTGAGAATCATCGGTGACCGTCCCTTTACACCCATGGAATCGGGAACGGCCGGCGACCTTCCAGGATGAGTTCGGCCGCAGTGGCGATGGGAATGCCGACCGTCTTGGCCATGGCCGACCACTTGGAATCGCCTTCTGTCACCAGATGGGACTGGAATCTTCTCCCTCTGCCTCTGGCTTCGATGTATAGGACGACCATGTCCCGTTCTCCCTCGCCTGGGAGACGCCGAGAACCGTGAGATCGCATCGAGAAAAAAAAAAAAAACGGACCCGCATCGTCGCCGAACTCACGGTAAGTCAAGCACTTCTCCAGATGCCCGGCGAGCGTGTCCAACGGTGACGGACCCGGGACGACGGGAGTGTCGGTCGTGAGGCCCAGAGAACGCAACACCGCCAGTTGATGAGCGTCCCCCGAGAGAATCATCGAGAGGTGACCCTCCAGGGCATCCTGTGGCGTCTGCACCGGAAGGCCGTGGAGGAGGCACAGGTATTCACGCTACGAGGGGAGAAGCGAAGGGTGAGGATCCGCTTTCCACGGTTGCCGGATGCGAGCGACCTACCCATGCGATTTGGACGGACGGGATCTCTTTCGGCCCCGAGAGGTCGAAGAGCCCGATGTTTTGGAGGGCCTTGATGCCGTGTGAGAAGCCGCGGTATCTCAGCGTTCCTCTGCGGAGAGTGCGGGATCCCGGATGGAGGCCGTACTCCTTCTCGCAGGACAGGCTGTCCCCGTTCGGGAACACTTCGAGGTCGAGGTCGTCCAGAACGGCTCGGCGTGGTCCATCAGTGCGTCTTCCGGCACTTCGATCACCTGACGAAGGGAAGAGAGACGGTGCTGGGAATCGTCTGTCGTGTCTGGTTTAGACGGATGAGACCGATATCGATTTCCACGATAACGAGATCCCGGAGCTCTTCTGAAACTTTTGACGAAATTTCCCTCGTCGCACCACCAAAGCTCGCATCGGAAACGAAGTCGACAAAACACCCCCATAGTTGCCTCCCGATCCTCACCTCCCCATCCTGCAGATACGTGGCCAGCCTCCTGAGGAAGTAGACGGCCGTCCTCGGACTCCAGGAAAACTTGTACTTGAGCAGATCCCCCGGATCCACGGACGACGCGGCCGGGATCCCCCCGCAGTAGGAGATGAACTCGTCCACCTCGCAGCCCTCCTCCCTGGCCCTCTCGATCGTCTTCATCGCCAGCATGTGATCCAGCCCCGGGTCCAACCCCACCTCGTTCAGGATCACCAGCTTCTTCTCCCTCGCCCTACGGATCGTCACCTTTCGTTCCGTCCGTCGAGCTTCGCTCTCTCCCGGGAAACGACGAATCGCGAGACTCACACGTCGTCGAAGGCTTCCACGTTCGGGTCGACGTACATCGCGGATATGAAGTGCGTGGACTCCTCGATGCAGATCCGGGCCATGTCCGCCGTGAACTCGTCCGGCAGGAGACAGATGCACAGGTTGCTCTCTCGGATTCGCTCCCTAATGATCCGTCGGTCCTTCGACACGTCCACCACCTCCGTCGCGACTGAGGAGTCGGGATACTTCTCTGCGATTTTCACCAATTCCTTCTCCATGGCGCTCACTGCACACAGTCGCGATTCGTTTCGCGTGCCAAACTCGAGAACGAACAAACACATCCCAACAGGGCTGCCCAGAGGGGGGGGGGGGGCAATTGGGGCAATCTGC